TTTCCCCAAAGGTTTATTCAGCTTTATTTATACAATATAGAAATTTAATGACATGGGAGATCTTAAAATGTGATCTGATGGAATTAAAGATTCGTATAAATGTGGTTCGTTTGTACAGTATACGAACACAGTTATTATAAATTATTCTTTTTCTATCGTAGTCTTCAACAATGTGATCTCCACTCGCTAAGTACAGTATGTAAAGACAGCCTACACCCAATAGTATAAATACAATTGTGTATGTAAAATTTAATAAAGAGTTGACTATTATAAATTGTCGGCATAAACAGCTTTTCCATTTTGTTTGTTTTTAACATTGTAACATATATCTCATTTTTACTCTGCGTATATGTACTTATATATGTATATAAATACATACATACATATGTTATATAATATATATATGTATATATCTGTCTCTTATACACATCTAGATGTGTATAAGAGACAGTATATATACATATGTATACATAAATACATATATTTCATTTATATACTTATGTATATGTAATATTTATAGAAAATTATACTAACTACATTCATATATACATAAAAAGGCAAATGTGGAATACCTGAACTTCATTCGTCTCTTATTTTATAAAAATATGTGTATTTATTATGTTTGTTCATATTTTGATCAATCCTATTATGAATATTGTAGCAGTAAAACATATTGTAGTATAAGTATACACATACTTACATTATTTTTACTACATATCTTCGTCATTGTATATTACAATTTCTCAGTTAATGTTTTGCTTAAATGGACTGCAATTTAACATTTCTCAGAGAAGTTTCCTGTACAGAATATGAAATACTTAGAACAACATATTATATTTCAATATAGATGTGTATAAGAGACAGTATATATACATATGTATACATAAATACATATATTTCATTTATATACTTATGTATATGTAATATTTATAGAAAATTATACTAACTACATTCATATATACATAAAAAGGCAAATGTGGAATACCTGAACTTCATTCGTCTCTTATTTTATAAAAATATGTGTATTTATTATGTTTGTTCATATTTTGATCAATCCTATTATGAATATTGTAGCAGTAAAACATATTGTAGTATAAGTATACACATACTTACATTATTTTTACTACATATCTTCGTCATTGTATATTACAATTTCTCAGTTAATGTTTTGCTTAAATGGACTGCAATTTAACATTTCTCAGAGAAGTTTCCTGTACAGAATATGAAATACTTAGAACAACATATTATATTTCAATATAGATGTGTATAAGAGACAGTATATATACATATGTATACATAAATACATATATTTCATTTATATACTTATGTATATGTAATATTTATAGAAAATTATACTAACTACATTCATATATACATAAAAAGGCAAATGTGGAATACCTGAACTTCATTCGTCTCTTATTTTATAAAAATATGTGTATTTATTATGTTTGTTCATATTTTGATCAATCCTATTATGAATATTGTAGCAGTAAAACATATTGTAGTATAAGTATACACATACTTACATTATTTTTACTACATATCTTCGTCATTGTATATTACAATTTCTCAGTTAATGTTTTGCTTAAATGGACTGCAATTTAACATTTCTCAGAGAAGTTTCCTGTACAGAATATGAAATACTTAGAACAACATATTATATTTCAATATCTCAGACATTTGCCCTTTATTGTTTTAATTGTTCCGTTTCACTTTATTTCCATTTTAAATGCAGATTTAATGTTGCATTACACATTTCTTACATTTTTGCCATTAAAATTATAAAGATCTTAGAACCACATAAGTGTATAAGTAATAACAAAAAACGTGTTCGTCTACTGGCATAGTTTCATCGTATTTCTTTTCACTTCCATCGAGTTATGTATGACATACTTGATGCAGTTTATTAGTCGATTTTACCAAAAAAAGTGCATATAAGCACTAATGCTTAGTAAAGTTAAAACAATTTTACGAATAACTTCATTCGGTAGATTAAAATTACCACAATCACATTTCGATACGATTGTCAATACTTAATTTCAATCTGAACTATGTATTAGTTAAATTGTATTATTATTTTTGTAGTCATAACAATCGCGTCGAAATGTGTGTTACGCTTTCTTGCGAACAAGGGAACCATGTTTAATTATATATAATGCAATCGCTGCATGTAAAAAAACGTACACGCACATATATGAGCTCTGTAAAATTAACAAGCATAATTCACTTATACTGGAAGAAAAAGAATAACAAAAAAAGAAAATTATTTTAATCGAATTATTACAACAATATTCTCGTGGACTGTACCATACAAAAGGTGATAATTTGAACATGTGCTGTATAATAGATTTTTCTTTCTTTTTTTTTTAAGAAACATTCTATGATTGTATCATTCATCAATGTAATAAATAAGAAATTGAAACGTAACATAAAACTTTAGAGGAGGATCTACCATTCTTTTCATAGCATAGCTATTTTATGTTACTATATGTACAATCACTGTTTCTAAGTTTGATGATTATTTTTTCCAGTCGCAAAAGGAGATATAACTCAATGTGAGTTTCTAGGTTGACTTTAAAAAATTTCGTTGTTAAATATGATATACGATATATCGAATGTTAAGCATATTGAACTTTGTTTTTAAAGTGGATCGTTTTTATATTATTGTATTTAACAACTTTAAATAATTGCGTTCGCAGCACCGCGTTTGCCTTCGTGTATAACACTTTAAGTGTGTTCAACGTAGGAGGAAAATAGTATTTTAAACACGACGATTTCATAATAATTTCATTCCTTATGCTCCGGGTTAGGTTTCGTTTTCGGTTCCATTGTTGTAGAACGCGGGTGATGAGGATTTGTCTGATTTCTTGGCACTAACAATACATTTCCATCTGCAGACTGTTGAAGGCTGTACTCGTATGGATGATATTGATTTCCATCAGGATCCCGTAAAGACTGAAAAATATAAAACATATTTATTTTATGAACTACACGAATGCAAGATTTAGAGAATTATATGAGCAATGATTAACTTGTGAATCGTTTGTTAAATTTTTCCTATTAAAGTCTCTTTTGGTTCTAATCTAACCGCTGTGTGTAACAAATATCTATTTATTAAAATATGAGGCTCCTATTTTAGTCTATAGCAAAGACTTGTAATGAAGATATATAAAATTGATTATTAAAAATTTTTTAAATCAGTATTAATAGAGAAATTGAATTAATATTAATTCGTATATGAAATTTATTTGTGAAAATTGAAGTAAAGTAAACTGGTATCTACTTTTGAGTTTCTGCATACGGATCCGTAGTTAAGCGATAATTAATATTGTATATTTACTTGAAATACATGACGGTAAAGTTGGCTAAATTTGTCCTTCACACGTTGCCTCTCGAGAAGCATGAACTCGTGCTCGCGAATAAGTCTCATTTTACGGTCTCTCATTTCCTTCACTTCATCGGCAAGGCTAATAATTTGGTCTAGTTTACGTTTGCGGCAATTTTGAGCAGCAACTTTATTCTTGCCTCGTCTTCTTATGTCGCGTATCAGAGATAACTGTGCTTCGCTGAGATCGTATTTACTAAGACGTTCATTAAATTCGTCCATAGGTAAATTAATAATATCGTTCACTGGAATCGGCACGTTCAATGCTCTTGCCCTTTTCTCGTCCCTAGTCAGATGTTCCTCGCTGTCACTTTTACGCACTGAGGAAGAAGAATTAAATTGCAAATTATAGATATAAAATAAAGTAAATATTCGATATACATGATGCTAGAAAAATATATATAAATAATTATATAATTAATATATATTATATTATTATAATATAATTATAATTATATTACATTATAAATATATATATATATATATATATATATTATATAAAAAATATATATAAATAAAAAGGATATTTATGAAAAATTGAGCTAAAAGTTTTACCTTTTTTGTCTCGAGACACTGGACGTTGAAGGGACCCAGAACTTTCCGCAGGTAAATGATACGTGTGATTATGGTGAATATGTTCAATAGCAGAACGTCCTGGGGAAGACAAGAAGACAGTCATTTAATACGTAATACTTGCGTATTAATTTCAGGCGTTTTCCTAGTGTGACGGTCTCGTTACAAGGCAATTTCGTTAATCTTTTAAAAGTAAGATATTCGATATTATAATTTCAAATTTTCAATACACCTATTACGAATGTTCGGAGAATTTACCCAAACTTCGTAATGCAACAATAATGATAATAGTTTTCTTGATAACGATTTAGATAATGCAAAATACAAATGTGTTTGGAGAGAACAATCCGACGTCAGCTATAACAATACGTAATACGAAATATGTATATGTAGAATCTCATGTGATCTTCGTAGAATGTTC